CTGTGCTGAAAGAGTTAATCCTGATATGCTTCCCAATTCCTGCTGATGAGAAGCATCCCCATAACATGATGCTGCCACCACCATGCTTGACAGTTGGGATGTGTTGACTGAGTGATGTGCTGTATTGGGCTTGCACCAGACGTAATGCTTTGAATTTAGTCCAAAAAGCTCAAATTTTGTCTCGTCTAGCCACAAAATATTCTGCCACATGTCTGCAGTATCATTTAAATGTTTTTTTGCAAACTCCATATGAGATGGAGTTTGTTCTTCTTCAATAATGGCTTCTTTCTTGCCACTCATCCGTACAGGCCAGCTTTGTGTGGGGACCGGGATATTGTTGATGTATGAACAGTGACTCCCATCTCAGATATGAAACTTTGCAAATCTCTCAAAGTCACTGTTGGCTTTACAATGGCATCCATAACCATTTTCCTTCTTGCCCAGCTGTTTAGTTTGGAAGGGTGGCCTGATCTGGGCAATGACTGGGTAGTATGAAACATTCCACTTCTTAATGATGGACTACACCGTACTCAAAGGAATAACCAGTGACTTTGAAATTTTTTTGTATGCTTCTCCTGATTCGTGTTTTTCTAACACTTTATCCTTTAAATTTTTCGAAAATTCCTTGGTCATCATGGTTAGTTTGTTGTATCACTATGTAAGTTGTGGCTTCAAAAGATACATTTACTATGAATTCAAGTTAAACCACTTTGATTACACACAGACAGAGAGCATTAAACTAATTTTTTGACCTTTCAAACTAATCTTTTGCACCTGAACTGATTTGGGGTTGCTATAGCAAAGTGGTTGAACACTTATACAATTGAGAATATTTTAATTTTATTTGAAAATCTAACTTACTTTCATAATATCATTGTTATTTTAGCTTTCTCAGTTTGGAGTGGATTGTATAGATTCTACATATAAAGTCCCATTTGAAAGATTCTGATTGCGAGCCCAGATGGCAACAAAATGTGGAATTTTGCAGGGGGGGGGGTGAATAATTTTGGAAGGCACTATATATATATATATATATATATATATATACCTTTTATTACTAACACTGTCTAATCTAGTCACCAGACAAAGTCACTAACTCTGATAGTCATTATTTACTGGTAAACTTTGACTCTACTTGGGTAACTGTTTGACTTAAAGTGGTAATTTTTTGTGTATTCCTGGTAATCCTTTGGCTTTTTCTGTAATGTTTAATCTGACTTTTAATTTAATTCTTGTAACTATTTACTT